TTGCCAATTAAAGATTTATTCAAGAAAATTAGGTGCATGTTCTATATGTGAGTGAGAAAAATATATATTTTCTTACCAGTTGATGCTCTGGTATTTATTTGACTGTAAGTAGTAGGTGTTGATGTAGTTATGCTACCTAAAGAAGAAGTTCAAATGTTAATTTCTTATTACTATGGTGAAAAGCATAGAAGGCTTTCCATGGCCTTTTGGACAGTTCGTAACGAAGTCTACACTTGAACACCCAGCTCTATAAAATAAAAAGGTGGGAGTACTACTAGATTGTGTACTAGTGACTATACATAAGTACACTACAAATGTGTGGATACAATAAAGGGATTATTAAGTTGCTTACTGCTCTTCATTGCTGTATCGCTATTCCGATATAAAAAATTACTTTCGACTACTAATATTACTTTTGTAATGAATGAATTCTGGAACCCAATTTTAAAAAATAATAGGGGTCAAGTGTTATTCTATCGAATATCTTCTAAATTGTAACATTACCTTTAGTAACACAATCATATTGTATTTTACTGTAAGCATTGACTATTCTACCATTACATACAGTATCAGTTATATTATATCTACGAAATCCTCCTATAGAACAAGTTCCTACTCCACTACAATTCCCTGTAACTTGTTGATGATCATCAGATGAAAATGGTATAAAACAATCACCAGGTTCTTCTTTACAACATGTTATATTTATACAGTTAGACAGACCGTTTATATTATTACATCCTGATCTATATCCATATGATGTATTTATTATCTGTATTACTAGAGGACTCGTACAAGATAGTCTGTGAGTTGTACATGATAGACTAGGTGCTCCATAACATACTGTAGTTGTATTAGTTCCATCTGAAACAAATTTACCCCGATTCAAACTTTGTTTATTCAAATACAGATATATATGTCTACTCAAATGAAAATATTTTAATAATTTGGCTTCATCTTCAGTGAAATAGAGTAATTTTTATATGTTCGAGTATCTAAAATGTTTTTTTTCTTACACGAATTCCTTTAAAATCTTTACTATGGTACATTCATCAAACAGTGTTTCGAGTTTTCTTTAAAAACAATTCCTTTGTCGAGAATGGTTCAAATTGGAATAATTTTCTACACTCACATAATAATATTACTTTGATCAACAAAATTATGATGATACTAATTAAATTATTTAATAAATACATTTTCACTGTAGTAAATACAATACGTAGTGGTGGGCTAACATAATAATCATACTGTTACATGGAAAGTCTTGTGACACTATTACGTTATCTGAAAATATAAAGCATAAAATTTTAAAAAAAAACATCAGATCATCAGTTCCTACACTTCCAAAGGTCATGGACAATACATACTTTTCTATCCTTGAGATTTCGTTTATTCCAAATCCTTCTATCTTTTTTTCATCATTAATACCCTTCCTGAGAAGAGTTTTTAAAGCAAATAGGCATGTTGTTAGACGGGGTGTTTAGTGTGTGAGAAATCGAAACTAGAAATTGATTATGCTGTTGACGATGGCCAATACAATTCACAGAAATGTGGGTAAAATAGTAACTAACTCACTTGAAGTTACTCAATAATTTGATAAAATGTTATATTTCCTCTATTCACTATGATATAAATTGGTGATATTGATATTTAATCTTGATAACTGTATTTAAACACCACTCCACTGTAATATATATTCAATCAGGAAGTAATATAAAGATAAACGAAATGGGGAAATTACCTTATTGTTATACTGTATTGTTCATTTCACTCAAAACCATTTATTTTACATGTTCACAATATTGTCTAACTCTAGTCAAAATCTGGAGGACATGTGAAATAACAAAAAAAAAAACAAACAGAGAATGGTGACTCAGGTTTTAGGTTTGTGGAAATTTATCACACTTCATGATGGCCCTAAGGAAAAATCTCAGAAAAAAAGTTTAATAATTGAATGACTAATTAAGACTTTCCGTGATTGGTTTTACATCTTGGTATAAAGACATCCCTATACGCCAATTTATTACGATATGTACAGCTCTAATTCCACCCGATCCTGTAAAATTAGCTCTACAAATAATTTTCTCTTTGAGAGAGCTAATTTTACAGGATCGGGTGGATTTAGATAGACAATGTAAAATGGCGATTCAGGAAGTATAAAATAGTTGAATCTGAAAACTGAATATGAAAATAAAATCCTACATTTAACTTCCCTTTTCTCATTAATAATAACTTCTAAATTAATCTTCAGTTACATGACATAATTTTATAAAATAGGCTAATACATACTCCTTTTATTGACGTTATTCAACATATCATTTTTATTAAAGACTACATTCATATACAAGCCACAATCTAAAAATGTAAGTTCTTGTCAAATGTCTATCAGTATCAAATCAATATATTGTGGTTATTCGACAGTCGTTATCCTTCCAAAAACAGCAAAATATAGCTTCTTTAAGACTAACGTGAAGTTATTCTTTGATTTAGATAAACAATGTAAAATGGCGATCCAGGAAGTTTAAAATAGTTGAACCTGAAAACTGAATATGAAAATAAGATAAGATGAGTTATAACATGGGTGATAGTATAAAGAAGTCTTATTTTGTGATATTTTTTGTCCTGATTTGTTTTCCAGTTACCAGTAAGTTAAAATTTTAATTAATGGCGTTTACTTTGGATTCTTATGAACTTCTTAAAATAAATATTCCCTTCCTGGTCTATTCTTGGAAAGGAACTTCAGATATTTCATGGAAACAACAGTTCTTAACGCCTTTCTATATATAAAGATAAACCTATAAGTAAATAGTGAAAGTTTCATTTTAGCTTTAATGTAATACACGTTATACATCTTTTTAACATCTTAAATGTTCAAATTCAATATAGTCGCAGGTTATATTTTGTTTATATTATCATTATATCATTGGTATATCAATACATAATTTGTTTCAGGTAGTACTAATACAAGTACAGTATGTTATGGATCACCTAGTCTATCATGTACAACTCACCGACTATCTTGTACCAGTCCTCTAGTAATACAGATAATAAATACATCATATGGAAATAGACCAGGTTGTAATAATATAAATGGTCGGGCTACTTGTATAAATACATCATGTTGTAATGAAGAACTGGGTGATTGTTTTATACCATTTTCATCTGATGATCATCAACAAGTAACAGTAAATTGTAGTGGAGTAGATACTTGTTCTATAGGAGGATTTCGTAGATATAATATAACTGATACTGTATGTAATG